TAGGTTAATTTGCACGCTTAATCCCTGATGAATATATAGTTTGCGCGCTTGGATAATTATTGGGGATTCAAGAAAGAATGCAAACGAATCTGTGAAAGAAGGGTGTCATTTAATGTCATTAATGATTAAACCCGCCATTAAACTCAAGTTTGATGAATATATAGTTTGTGGGGTGTGTGTTAGATGGATACTTACACAATCTTTTGGAGTGTTGTTTGCTTTAGCTTTCCAATCTTTAATGGAGGTTTACTTCATGGTTGCATGGCTTATGTATTACTTGTCTGTGAAGTCCATTGATGCTAATCCTAGTGGTCAACCACTTGGTCAACGAGAGCTTGAAGTTGAAGCCATGCTTAGAGATGTTAGATTTTTTATGATAGGTGATGTTAATTCTTACAAATGTGAAGTGGTAGTCTTTTAGTGTTTTGGTTAAATGTGTTTCGATAATCATGACTAACATTTTTAGATGACATGAATTCAAATGTTTTGTATAAAATGTGTAGATGGAATGGTTAATGTCACTTCAATAATGGGGTTGCATACTTTACACTAAATCTAAGAGGTGTTTCATTAATCTCAAAAAACAATTTATTCAAAGCGTTTGTTAGATTAATATTCTACGGAAAACATAGTGTCATACTGCATCAACCCATTAATTTAGAAGAAGATTTGCAAAACTCAACATTGATATAGTACTAACTATTAATGCAAATTATTTTTATAAAGACAAATTGCAAGAATGGTCCCTGTGGTATGTCAAAACTAGCAACTTTGGTCTAAAATGAGTTTGGCTCACAAGGATGGTCCAATAGTTTCGTTTTGTTGCGAGTTTAGTCCAATTTCTTATGAACTTTTTTATAATGATGGATTTGCCCCTTATATTTTATTTTCCAGTTTTCTTTTATTACAACAATTAAAAATAAACCAAAAATAAAATCTATCTCTCTCTCTCTCTATCTCTCTCTCATCTCATCTCTAAGCAGTCGAACCCATCTCCATCACCTTCACCCGCAAATAGAAAGTGTTTTCTTCTTGAACACCATCTCTGTCTCTATCACTTTCACACCTCCAAATCAAACACCATCAATTTTCTTATTGATTCAAACCTATAAATCAAGAGTTTTCTTCTTGCTTCAGACTTGCAGATATAGAATCAAACAAAAGCCCATCACCACATGTTTATCGTTTTTCTCTATCCCGTGTTCTATTCATGAGTTTTTCCAAAAACATCCCACATCGAACTCTTTCTACACAATCCATACATCTTAATCTTGTAAGACTTAACATTTGGAACAATATCTCTCTTTAAAATTTGATTGAACAAGTCTTGATTCAACATTGTTTTTAAAACAAAAGGCAAGAAGAAGAACAACCAAGGAGACCACCGGAGCAACACCCTCGCTGTAACAGTTGCCCGACAGTGAATACAAAGAGCAAACCCACAGAGGGTTGTCGGTCTCGACAAACCCCCTTGCACCTCATCGCGATTTCCCTGCCACACCGGAGCTCTCGTCGATCTGCCTTTCAGTGAATCGCATACAGCCACCCCCAAATCAATATAAGAAACATATAGCAGACAGGTGCAATTCAAAATTTTTCAAGAAAAAAATTGACACTATCTAACCCTATAACACCCAAATTGAAAATCAGAAATCTACGAGGTGAAGTAAGAAATCCATTTTAGTTTAAGAAACTTTGGGGAAGTGGAATTGCACCTGCTTCTTTTAATAATCAAACTATTTTTGATGATGTTGCCCCTAACAATGGAATCGTCCACCACCACCATCGGTTTTCCCTCCAAAACCGCTCTTACCGGTAAAAGCTTCAATTTCACCCCAAAATCATGAATCCTTTGAGAGGGTTCACTGAATGTGCAACTATTGCCGCCATCACGCCGAAATCTAGGACTACAATCACCGCGTCACAGTCGACCGACGACTCTGTGGCCATGATTTCCCCAAATTGACGACGGGATTCATAGACAGAACTCCCGAACATGGAGGAGTTGGGTAGAGAGAAATAGATGTGCTCGAAGATACATGATTTGGGTTCTAGGTGTGGCATTAAACAGAGGTATCGGATGCTGCCTTTATCGTCGATTAAAACTTCACCTGAGTTCACTTCTCTTTCGTATTTAGCTTCGATGGTTTGTCCACGAATTTTCAGGAAGACGGGATGGAATTACTTGGTGTATTTTGTATACATATATATATATATATATATATATATATATATATATAGAGAGAGAGAGAGAGAGAAAGAGAGAGAGAGAGATTTTCTTTTTTTTTTCTTTAATAAAAAAATTGAAAAAGGGAAAATACCAAGGGCAAATCCGTCATTATAAAAAGTTTTAAAATTTTTGGACTAAAATCGCAACAAAACGAAAACTATTGGATCATCTTTGCAAGACAAACTCATTTTAAACCAAAGTAGCTATTTTTGACATACCACAGGGACCATTATTAATTTTTATCTTTTATAAAACACTATAAAAATAAATGATCCATGTAGGATGCCGTTTCAATTTTATTTGTAGTTGATTTTTGTAATTTTTTGGTATAAATTTGATTTGGAATTACTATTTTACCTCTTTTTAGATTTTTTATTATTTTTATTTTCTATATTTTAATATAAATTAAAGAGTAAATTACACAAATGGTCTCTATGGTTTGGGATACCTACTATTTGTTTTTGTTACGTGCTTAGTTCCTATCTTACATAAAAAGACTATTTTGTCATTGATTGTTTAATTTATTTAAATAAACACACCCTCAACCCCCACTTTCACCTCACCTTATCTTACCTTATCTATCCTATTTTATTTAAATAAATTAAAAAATCAAGGGCAAAATAATCTTTTTAGGTAAGACAGTGACCAAACGCGCAATAAAAACAAACTAGAGGGATCTTCCGAATTAAAAAATTAAGTTAGGACCACACATACAAATTATAGGGACCTTATTCTAAATTAAATAAAAACCCATTAAATCTATCACATAAGCCCATCTCATCGTTTATCTCCCCCCAATTCTTCATCCCCTTCGCCTTCAAGACACGAACAACCAATCTGCCAGCCTCCATTGTCTTTAGTCATCATTATCATCGTCTTTAAGCAGCGCCACCCTCAACCGTCTCGTCTCCCACCATCATCGGCATATGTTCCATCCATCACCACCATCATGTTCAAGCAGTCACCGGTCCTCCACCGCAATCGTTTCCACAACATCTGTCGTCTCACGTAGGTTCTCAACAGTCAACTCGATCATATCTTAAATTCAAATTCGGTCATTGCCTCATTGGTATTCCTTTTCTATATTATTTTTTGTTGCTTGTATTAATCGGATTTTGTGAAATTTACCCCTTTGAAGCTATCTCGGTTCTTTCTGTACCTCATCCTATTGAAGCCAAATTGATTGGTTCGAGGACATTCTGCAGCCATAAGAACTCACATGGTAGAAGTTCAGCTCAAAAGGTAAGCCATTTTCTCGATACAACTGATGTAGCACTTCTTACTTTTCCTTATATTTCTACGCAGGATAATCATAAAAACTGTGCTTCTATTATTCCAAGTTTAACAGAAAGGGAACACATGTCCATAAATTGCAATCCGAAGGTTTTGTTCCCGACAATTCTACCATGACAACTTTGATGTTATACAATGCAAATAATGGATTTTTCACACAGGCAGATTCCATATGGAATGAAATTATAAACAGTTCTTATAATCTTGATATTCACACAGTTTTGGGCCTAATTGATGCTTACATTGAATGGAGGCTTTTTGATGAAGTAATCCAAATTATACATCAAATTAGTCTGAGGCGTCCTCAATTACAACACCAAGTTTATGCACACACCATATCTTGTTTTGGTAAGATAGGAGAGCTTGAAGTAATGGAGAATACATTAAAAGATATGGTCTCAAAGGGATTTCTTGTTGATTCTGTTATGGGTAATGCTTATATCATGTATTATAGTCGTTTTGGTTCAATACCCATGATGGAAAATGCTTACAAACGTCTAAAAAGCTCAAGACTTTTGGTTGAAAAAGATGGGATTAGGGCAATTTCTCTTGCTTATATAAAGGACAAAAAGTTTCATAGTTTGGGTAGCTTTTTAAGGGATGTGGGTCTTGGTAGGAGAAATGCAGGAAATCTTCTTTGGAACTTATTGTTATTGTCATATGCTGCAAATTTTAAAATGAAGAGTTTACAAAGAGAGTTTTTAAATATGTTGGAAGCTGGATTTGAACCTGATTTGACCACTTTTAATATTCGAGCTGTGGCTTTCTCAAAGATGTCTTTGTTTTGGGATTTGCATTTGAGCCTTGAACATATGAAGCATAATGGAATTTTCCCGGATCTTGTGACTTATGGTTGTGTTGTTGATGCGTATTTGGATAGGAGATTAGGGAAAAATTTGGACTTTGCTTTGAGGAATATGAATGTGAATGATTCGGGTGTTGTGTTAACTGATGATCTTGTGTTTGAGGTGTTGGGGAAAGGTGATTTTCACTCTAGTTCGGAGCCACTTTTGGAGTTTAATAGAGGGAAGAAGAGGTGGAGTTATAAGGAATTGATTGCAACTTATGTTAAGAAAAAATATCGGAGTAATCAAATCTTTTGGAATTACTAATTCCGATGCATTATGATGGTGATTGAAAAAGGATCTCGTAGGGGTTAAATGACGATAATACCCCTTGTATATTCTCGTATATTTGCTCTAGTTATAAAAACCATTCTAGTTTTTTTTTTGTTGATAAATCCATAAACCAAAAAGAAAACATTATTTATTTAATGTCAACAAAACAGATAACTAATTTTAATTAATTCATATCCTAATTTTCTTGACAAATTTCATTATTTTCTATCACAAAACCCCCCAATCTAGTTTGGTATCATAAAACAAAAATCTAAAATCCTTTGATAACTTGGATATACGAGTGGAATAGTACATTATAAACCATTTTTATACATTATTCTATCACAAGAAAAATATAATAAACTCATTACATACACGTGTGAGAGGTCCTTATAAATTGATTTCTCCATAGCAACAAAGCGGGAAATTTCAATGAAGAAAGGCATGCAGCCATTGGAGAGGATCAAAGAACTGGAGGGAAGTTGATTGTAATCAATAATAGAAACTCAAGATCCGTTATAATTCATCGGTAAAACCCATCACCATGAACGAGCATCCTGCACGGTGGTGACGGCGGCTGCGTGACTGCCACGCATAGTCGTCCTCCGGACTACCATTGATATCCTCAAGCAAACCACCTCCATCTTCTTCAACCCCAACAACCTCCAGATGCTTCTCCTTCTTTCCCTCTTGGTGCTTTCTGTACGCGTTAACGTTGAAACGACTACTCATTCCCTCACTTCCATCGTCGATAATGACCCTTCCATAAAACCCCTCATCTATCGAATTCACGACCCTCCCAATACCACCTCCCCTACCTCCAACATCACCACCAGATGTCGTCGTGTTCCCCACCTCACCCGTGTCAGGACTAGGACTCTAGACGATGATTCTTTCCCTGGAGACTACGAGTTCGATCATCGATGTTTTGGCAGCAGACTCCCAAATTCCCAATTATATGCCACTTCATTCATACTTGACTCCTTCGACCCCCAATTGGGAGTCTCTGATTTTGTATCCGATAACGGAATTAGGGCATCTGAAACTATGCGTTCTACTGCTAAGATGACTTTCACATTAATCGAGGTCATAGAGAAAGAAGAAAACGACGTCATCCATAGAAGCAACGATTCTGCACCATTGAACGAAACGACTGAAAGTGAATCCGAATTCCAGTTCTTCTTGAAGAGGTTTGGCCTCGAACACCATGATTTTACTGCATTGTTGTTTCTTATTGGTGCTCTCTCTGCTTCCTATTGGTTTATGATTCTTGGATTCGTTGCTACTTATACTATAGTTCATGGAGTTATATTCCTAAGGGTTTTTGGCACTGTAGCACAACAAAGTTTGAGGAATTTACACATTTAGTCATCCATGTATTTTTTTGCGTAGATAGTCCTTAAAGTTGGTTTTTACCTGTTAAATAGGGGCTTGACCCCCAAACTAACAGGTTTCCAGGTTAACTCCACTTATTTGGAGTCCTACATGGCAAAATAGGTTTATATTAATGCCAGATGTTGCATATGTGGTGTCCATATAGATTACCATTTACTTAAATAAACATTTAACTGGTTCTCTTTCTTTTACTTCCTCCAGTGAATCGAAGTTATCATCCTTTTTTTCTTCTCTTCAATCGATCGCATGTCACATCTCCCTTCCTATCTTCAATCGATTGCATGAAATAAAATCACACCCATTCTCTTTCTTTTACTCCCTCCACTAAATCTTCGAGTCTCACTCCTCTTTTGTGTTTTTTAATTTCACTCAAAGCAATAGATGAACAGGTGGTATTTGGTGGTTTGATTTGTGGTATTTGGTGGTTTGATTTGTGGTGAACAGTGACTGATTTCCTTGGATGTTGCAGATGGGTATGGATTTTCCCTCTTCTCCCTCTTGATGTGTTCCTTTTGAATTACAGGTGTTGTATGGTTGATGCAATGATGGAGGGTGAAGATGGTGATGATAAATATCATCCGTGGCATTAAGTGAAGGATTGTTGATGAACAAAGCAAGGAGTGTAAATATTGATGTTGGTCAAGGCGATGGGGGATGAAGGCGATGGCGATAACGCTCCTCCAATTTCATGAGAAATGCTTTAAGATAGTTTCCGGGATTTCCCCAATCAGTTCATTCTTGTATATGTTCAACAATTTCCGATGGGATTTCACAAAATAATGAATCTTAGGATGTCAACAAGTTGAAGATGTATCAACGGAGAAAGTAAGAGCACCATAGATGCTTCCAGTCAGCTTATTCCCTCAAAATAGAATTCTGTGTAGCCCTAACTGAAATACCCAGATAGGAAGAAACCTTGTGAATGAGTTCCGACTTACGTCCAAGCTCTGAAGATTATGGCATGAGATATCAATGATCGAGACTTGCAGATTTAGAATACATGTCTGCAGATCTATGTTTTCTGGTTTACCTAATGCAAGCGAATTTTTAGGGTTTTCGGATTCAAATGGTTTTTGGAATCGAAATTTTCAGTTTTGGAATCGATATTTGCATATCCCATGTTCGATATTGTAAAAGTTAGTCTTCTTGAAAATCTCCATTAATGCCGAAAATGTACCTTGTCTCCAAATTTTGTTGTGGATGGAGACGGTGGATAATGGTGGTGGGAGATTATTTTTGTTCTTATTTTTAGTTTAGGATATGTGCCAAAAGAAGTATTTTATACTTGGATTAGTGAGAAAGTGTTTTTTTTGTTATTTTTTAATTTCCAGGTCAGCAAATATAGCAAATATACCGGTTCATCAGGTTGCCTAGCTAAATATGGTATAACTGAAACAATTTTTTTAAGTTTAATGACTAATTGTGCAACAAAAAAACTTGAGTGACTAAATGTGTAAATTCGTCAAAACATTCTTTTGCTACAGTGCCAAAAACCCTATTCCTAATGGTGCTGAATGATTTCTGTGAGAGCCACAACTCTTTCACCATTAATTTCTCAATCAGTTTGTTTTTGGGTGTGAAAAGATTATCTCCCTTCATTCTCATGAGATGGGCAATCAGGGATGCTCTCACTCATCTACTGGGCTTCTGTTTCTTCGTATCAATCAAAGATCAATATTCCTTCTTAAAGATCTTCCTTAGGTACAAGTTCATGCCATTTTCAATTATGTCCCCTTGGGTTAAAGGTTTCGAGAAGGAGATTTACTGGTTCCTAAAATCATGGATCATATTAGACTTGTTCATGTCTTATGCGTTTGTTGTGGTAGCTTGGATAGTTATGGCGGGTTCAAGAAGAAGCTGGAGAGAAATTGTGAAAGAAGGTTATCATTTACTGTTATTAATGCTTCAACCTGCTGTTGATCTTATGTTTTTTGAAGTTGTAGTTTGTGGGAGATATGTTAGATGGGTGATTTCACAACATTTTGGGGTGTTCTTTGGTGTAGCTTTCCAGTCTTTCATGGAGGTTTATTTCATGGTTGCATGGATGATGTATTACTTGTCTGTGAAGTCCATTCATGCTAATTCTAGTGGTGAACCTTTTGGTAAACTAGAGCTTGAAGCCATGCTTGAAGATGTTAAATCTTAAATGATAGTTGATGTTAATTCTTGCAAATATGAAGAGTAGTAATCTTTTGGTGTTTTTGGTTAAATATGTATCGACGTATGTGATTAGCATTTTTAGATGAGATGAATTCAAATACTTTGTATAAAATGTGTAAATCGACTCCTTTTTTAGGATTCCTCGCATTGTTCATTTCCTAATTTCAAAATGATGACATCAAAAAGAAAAATCCAAGTTAAAAAAAAGTTATAAAGATAATTTTTAGAGAAAACAAAAAATATTAGTAACTAATTTTGGTACTTAAGTTTTAATACCACATAGGTATAAAAACAAGTTCCTTTAAACCTAAGGGTTACATTTGAAAGTATTTGAGATCTTATTGTTAGGAAGTTAGTAAATTGAAGGCAAAAGCCTTAGTAGTAAAACTTCATTTAAAAGTCTAGTCAAATGGTGCATATTTGAGAGAAATCAAACTTGACGGTCCATAGTGTAACATGTTAGGGTATTAAGGTACTTAAGCTAAAAGATTCTCCTCCATTTGGGAGAGGAGCACAATCTAGAGAAAGGAGAGGATTCAATGGACGAGTATTCTCTCCCAAAACTTTGGTACTTGAAGCTTGAGGGTGTTTGTTGGAGCTTTGGTCAATTGTACTTATAATCTAGCTTTCGAAGGTATATTTTTCTTACTTTCTCTACCAATTTCATTATAGGGTTCATGTGATTCTTAGAATTCGAGTTTCCTTTTCACCTATGGTGTTCATATGAGTTTTAATTTATAAATCCATTTCCAAACAACAACTAAAAAATAGTTGAGAGATTTGGAAGACAGTGTTATTTTGAAGGATTTTCTTAACCCTACATCAAAGAAATCAAACTTTTGATTTGATTTGAGAATCCATATTTTTATGTTCATCTAATGTATCTAGTTAATTATTTGTGGTTGGATTTTCAATTCATACTCCCATTTAGGTCTAATTAAGTTTTAGTCATATTGAAACGTCCTAAAATATAAAACCAAAAATTTCGTTTTCATAATAATAAAACCATCAACCCAAAGGTGTTCATAAAACCATAAAGAAAAAACGAAGTATGTCAATCAGTCATCTCAATACGTCAGAGTCAAATAAAACAGAAACTGTGGTGTGTGCGATGTGATCATCTTGAGCTCTTCCCCTTCGATCCAGAAGTACCTGAAACATAAAATGAAAACCGTAAGCACGGAGCTTAGTGAGTTCCCTAAAATACCGCATAGCTCAAGGTTATGCCGGGTCTATTTCACCCCCGAGTCTATTTCACCCCGAGTCTATTTCAACTCATGCGTCAACACAAGGCTGTATTGGTTCTATTTCACTGATGGATCTATTTCATCCCCGAGTCTATTTCAACTTATTTGTCAACACAAGGCTATACCAAGTCTATTTCACCTCCGGGTCTATTTCACCCCACATATATATAGAAAACAAGCATACATGCATATAACATATATATAGTAGGAGTCACAAAGACTATAAGTATATAACATATCCTAGTGTCATACAATATAGTGATCAACTCACCTTAGTCTGTGGTCAGTCAAACAAATGATCGAGCTACTGAACCGGAAAATCCCCACGCTAATCAATAAATAAAACCCCAATTAATAATTGGGACATAAACCATAACTAGGAATCTAGTTCATTTATCCAACGCCCAGGGTAAATGGTATTTTACCCTTTCCTCACTTAGCCCAATAACCGAGGCCTAACCCGAAGGCACCAAAAGCCTAATATGTCCGAAAATCCAAAAGGATACCCAAAGACCATTATGGGCTCAAATACAAGAAGGCCCAAAGCCTAACAATGGCCCAAAGTTAGAAAGGCTAGTGGCCCAACAAGGCCCAAAGCCCTAATAGTCCAAATATGACCCAAATCACAAAAGTCAACAAAAGCCAACAATTGCTGAGTACGCCCGACGTACACCTCCATTGGCTCGTATGTGCTGCGTATGAGCTGGGTACACCCATCGTACTCAACAACAAGCCCAATTCGCCATTATGTGCTTAATTGGTTAAGCAACTAAGTATACTTCTTAGATCCGATCTAAATGATGTCTTAACATGTAAAGTTGGCAACTTTACTCCTTTGCATGTCTTAATAGGACCCAATACTAGATTTTAACCAATAAGGCACACAATAAGAACCCTAACTCATGCATGGTCCAATATAACACATCAAGATTGCATTTTTATCCACAAGGAACCTGAAAAATGCTAAGATATATCATCTCTAGCTTCTGGAGTAGCTTATACTCTTAAGCATGACTTAAGGGGCTATAAAATGCACAAAACAAGTCCGAACTAGATCTATCATTATGAACCATCAAGTTAAGAGCTTTATACCTTCAAAAGCTTTCCATGTTAGTGATGATTCTGGATCCACAAGCTCCAACCACACCAATGTAACTTCCAAGAGCTCTTCTTCCTTCAAGATCACCAAAAAGATTCCCAAATATCACTTCCAAGCTCAAAACACTCAAATGAAAATTAGGGTTTCGTTCTCAAGGTTCGGAGAAGTGGAGGATGGTCATAAAAAGGTCCAAGAATAACTTAAGGTGTTTAAATAGGGCTTAAACCCTAAAAATTAGGGTTTATCCCAGGCGACCGTAATGCCCTGCGTACTCTACATACGCCCTGCGTACTTGGGTGCCTCCACGATCTTCATTTTGACCCAGTATGCCCAACGTACTCCTAGCGTACCCCCAACATACTCGGCCAGGGACCAAAATGCAATAGTTTTTAATTAAGGGAAAAAAGGAAAAATACCTGAAATGCAAATGCTACATATATTTTGAGGGTTTTCTAACCCTAGAAGATCTAGATCCAAAATTTAATAAATCTTGAAGTGTTAGGAGGTTTTTATTATGTTACTTACGATGTTTTATCCTCATATTTGAGGTATTGTTAGTAACCCATGCTTGGAATGATGTTTATTGAGTTTTTGAAGAAGTTAATCTTCTTTGGAGTCCATGTAAAGTTTGAAGTTCAATGTAAATCAATGATTGTCTTATAAACCTTGATGAGTTCCTAATTCCATGCGTTTTAAGTTGTAAGAGTTTTATTTGTTTATTTGGTTTCAATCCATCATTCATACATAGTGATTTGGTACAATGTGAACTCTATGTGCTCCTTCAACTTCTATATGAAGTTTGATAAATGTTTTGGTGTCTGATGCCCATTCCAAGGTGTATGGATGACAGTTTCTTTCAAGTAGCTAATATGTATTATGCCAATATCATGAAATACATACTCATCTTTTAGAGGTATGTATTTAGTTTTAATTTATTAGAACTCCGTGAGCCCAAGGTGATTCTAGTAAGGATTAGTGAAATTGGAGAATTGTGAGTTAGGAAAAGGAACGGATGATTCCATCATTAGAATCAAATTAATTCACTCACTTGGAATAAGTACAAACATTATGTATAACCACAAAACATGATTGTATAATTCAGAAAACATGATCATTATGTGATCATGTTTTGTGGTTGGAGTTTGAAAAAACATTTAAAACATGGAAAAGTCGGTAAAATGTTCCAAAACTCATTTCCACACAACTTGAGAACTTAAGTGGTGATTTTTTGAGCTTTCCATGAGAGATTGAAGCCAAACCAAGGAGATATCGAACAATAGAAAAGATTTATCATCTAATCCAGATAAGGTATATATCCACTTCTTCATCATTTTAAGCTTTTAGTAGTCTTCCATGGTAGAACATGAAGTAAGTAGCTTGAAATTTAACCTTAGTGTTTAAACTCTTACTTATTGTTGTTATAAACATGGTAAAGATGCTATTGAACTTAAATAAATGAATTAATGGTGAAATTCATGATACTGAAAAAAAAAATGGGATTCAAATCCTAAGTAAGCAATGAACAAGATGAAGTGACATTAAGCTACGTCTTAATGAATTTAGACATAACACTAAGTTTTATGTCAATAATGATGGTTGTCATGGAATATGACAAATTATATTGAATTTAACTTATAATGTTCATATATAGGAGTTGTATGAAGTGAATAGATGTCTTAATGGATTAACACAATACATAAAGATTTATGAAAAAGTTGTATTGAAATAACTCATTGAGTGAAAATAAAAGCTTTATGAGTTATATATATGAAATGGGAATATGAAAAACCTATATGATCAAGTAAGTGATCATATTTTGTTTGAGTTAGCTATTAAGCTCTTAAATAAATAAGTTAAGCTAAAATAGCTTGATCATATTATTGAATAGGAAGTGAAAATAAGCTTGATCCAAGAAGTGCCAAGCCAAACACCGAAGCCAAGAGAACTAGTTAATTTTCATGAATTATTGAGATGAGTTATATATGTGTTATTATAGGAATATATGGCTTATTACTTAATGAATTAAGTATTTGATAGATAGTAAGTGTTGAAAATGGTGTACAATATCATTAACTATTTTTGTAATATTTCTATTAATAGTAGGGTCATTTTGGGTTAGCCTCATGAACCAAATAACATAAGCAAAAGGAGATTAATAATAGGGAAATTGAGTAATCTAATCCATATAAATGACTATTTTAATAATAATAACCAACTTATAACTTTTTTTTTCGTAAAATGAACACTATCTTTGGAATAGAGCATTTCGAAGTAGCAGTAATCATTCTGGAGCATTCACGATCCAAATCATCTAAATTTGGTTCCAAAATTCTAACACGTACTTTTAGAACAATTTGTATTGCTCAAGTTATGAGAAAGAAGGATGAACAAAATTACATATCAGCAACCACATCGACCTACACTTTTAGACTTCTTCAATTGATCTCCACAACTTCTGTTAGTAAAATCATAAAAACCCTTTCATTAGCATAATCTATTGATTGTACTTTTCTTGTATTAAAAGTGGAGACTTAGTTATTGAACAATCATCATGATGATTCAATATCACCATTGAATATGAAATCTAATATTGAGATATAAAAGACAAAAAAAGGTTCTAAAATAAAAATCAAATCATTTTAGTTAAAAAAACGCTTAAATCTTTCAATGGTAACTCTGATAACACTTTATAAAACCCAAGATTTAATAGTGAAAGATAAATGCAGAATAAAATGAATTACCAACATAAAAATGAGAACAATATTTTAACACATTTACACAAGTTTAACAAAGACATGCCTATGGGCACTTCAAGTATGAATACCTTTGGTTAAACACATAGAATATTTTCATAAGAGCAATTCCCAAACGCCTTTCTAAAATGCCTTAGAACAAAATCTTCATTTTATCTTCACGAAATCAATAATTATCCATTGTTACATCTACGTTCATTGCTTAGATGAAATTGTTGGTGTCATAATTTGTGGAGAAAAAAAAATTGCAATCCAATTGACGAATTCGGCTCAAATGTATTATCTTTCTTTCTTTGCTATTTTGGTGGTGCGAAATTGATACTTGACCTTTTTCAAGAGTATTTATTCTCTAACTAAACCTTTTTATACTTTCGAGCTTTTCTATCTTCTCTTTCTACCTATGTTTAACATTGTCTTCTTTCATTTGTTTTTTATTTGCTTCATCTTCCTTATTTTTCTATCGATGAGACATATCCTCTAAAAAGATTTCCTCAATCAACCAAAGTCCGCATCTTGATCATAAGTGTAATATTATAATTTGTGTGTATTCAATGCCATTATTAAAATGGTAACTACTCTCTTTTTCTCACTCTCTCCCATATAATCATGTGCATTTTTCATATCTAACCCTGGAATATTTATATTTTGCATGATTTTTTTCTCTGGTAATTCATACCATGATACCATGCCTAAAACAAAGAGTCAAATATGGCATAAAAAATATCGTTTGATGACTTGGATTAATCATGTTCATTTTGATACCAATTTCACATTTTTCATTATTTTTATTACAAGAAATAATACACAACTATTTCTTTTGTCGATCGAGTTTTACAACTAAAACCCTTTCCTTTTAAGTGCCACGTGTCAAAGTTATTACAATTCGAAATCGGTTCCTCTGCCCTCGCAACAGAACGTGAAAGCTTGAAACAGAACAAAGAAGGAAATAACCGCCAAACTGAACAAGATTCAATCAAGAAACGCATTCCGCCATTGGAGAGGATCAAAGAATTGGAGGGAAGTTAACTGAATTGGGCACCAACTTCGAAATGGGTTTATATATAATGCTCTAAACAAATCATAGTTCATCACTCTGCACATCTAAATTCTGACCAATAATAGAAACTCAAGATCCATTGTCATCGCCATGAACGAGCATCCTCCACCGCCACCGCCACCGCCACCGCCGCCACGGCGTATAGTCGTCCTCCCGACGGCCACTGCTGTCCTGACTCGAACCACCTCCATCTTCTTCACCCGCAAGAATTTCCTTATGTTTCTCGTTCTTTCCATCCTTCTGTCTTTTCAACGTCTTAACATCGACATTGCTACTAATTCCCTCACTTCCTACATCGATAACCAGTCTTCCATTCAATCCTTCTTCTCTCGAACTCACGAACCTCCCAATCCCACCGGGACCACCACCGTACGCCGCCCCTTCCTCCATCTCCCCGGCGTCGGGTCTCTAGACGATGATTTCTTCACCGAAGACGACGAGTTCGATCGTCGCAGCCTCCCAAACCCCCAATCAAATTCCACCTCATTCATACTCGACTCCTCCGATTCCCAATTGGGATTCTCCAATTCCGTGTCGGATACTGGCATCAACGCATCTGAAATCAACGATTCTGTTCCGATTGATGAAACGGCTGAAAGTAATTCCGACTCGCAGTCCTTGAAGACATCTGACCTCGAACGCCATGGATTTACTGCATTGTTCTTTCCCTTTGGTGCTTTCTGTGCTTCATATGGATATCTCGTGCTTGGATTCGTTTCTACTTATGCTTACGTTCATGGGGTTATATTCGTATTGGTTCTGAACGATTTCTGTATGAGATACAACTCCTTCATCGCGACTTACTTGAATGGTTGTTCTCTGGGTTTGAAACGATTGTGTCGCAACATTCTCATGAGATGGATAATCAGATCTGTTTTCTCTCTACTCTTGGGCATCTGCTTCTTCGGACAAATTGAAGACAAACATACACTCGTGAAGATCTTCGTTAGGTTAATCTTCATGCCATATTCCATTTTCTCTCCATGGGTTAAAGGTTTCGAGAAGGAACGTGAAGACTTCATTTTACCATGGCTGTTCGTAGATTTCTTGACCTCCTTTGTGCTTACTCTGGATCCTTGGATAGTTATGGCGGATCCAAGAAGAAATTGGCGGGAAGTTGTTCAAGAAGGTTGGAATTTGTTGTCATTATCGCTTCATCCCGCTTATAATCTCAAGAGTTTTGAAAGTATAGTTTGTGGACCATATGCTCGATGGGTATTTGCAAGAACATTTGGGGATTTCTTTGCTAGAGCTTTACATTGTTTAATGGAGGTTTACTTCATGGTTGCATGGTTGATGTATTACTTGTCTGTGAAGTCCATTGATGCTAATTCTAGTGGTCAACCTTTTGGTCAACGAGAGCTTGAAGCCATGCTTGGAGATGTTAGATGATAATTCATGTGAATATGTGATGTCTATTCTTGCAAATATGAAGTGTTAGTGTTTTGGTTAAATGTGTTTGAACAAATGTGAATAACATTTTTTTTTAGATGATATGAATTCAAATGGTTTGTATAAAATGTGTAGATGGAAATTGGAATGGTTACTTTTCATGATTTTGTTGTTATGATTAGGAATCACAGTTTATTATTTCATCAAGAATCCCTTCAAAAATGGGGTTTGCTACTTTACACTAAATCTAAAATCTTGAAGAAGAAAAAAATCTAACAAAATTCAAAAACAGAAAGTGGTTTTTTGATCATGTGGCAATGAAGCAACTTTGAGGAAGACTTCCTCATCACAAGGGATGTAGAGTTTAGAATCAGCAGTGAAGTCGTATTCTTCTCGAGCTTGATCCAACAACTCGTTGAATGACGGGTTTTTTAGTAATTTCACATTGATGACAAACCTACTCTGGTTTTGACCAACGTAGACTACAAGATGACCCTTTGGGACGTCCCTTGGAATGGAGTCATGTTCATCATCTTCATGTATGGATGGTGATGATGATGATGATGATGCTTGAGTGATTCTCCATGGACACCAGTTTTTAAAGCTTAAACAAGATGCAACTCCATCGATCTCCCTCCTCTTTTTAAGCCATGCTTTCAGAATCTTTACTACCATCATGTTTATATATACATGTGTATGTAGTAGAGGGAGAGAGAATGATGTATATGATGGTGGACAACTGGGAGAGAGTAATATATATTTATAGTGATCATGAAGTGAGGAGAGAGGAAAGTAAGATGATGATGACTAAGAGGTTGTGGTTAGGGAGATTGAAATTGATTGAGCACTTTGGTTGAGTATAGATACTAATTCCTATCTAAATTTGGAAATGTGAATCATATCTATTGTGTAAGTGGAAAATGATTCATTCCTATTAAAAAAACGTTTTTCTTTGGGAAGAAAGTTTATTATTTTTCTTTTTTGTTTTTGTTGGCTAAGAAACAATAGTAACAACAATAATACTTGATTCTCATTAAGAATGTGTAAGAAAGAAGTCATTACTCCACTTTGTCATAGAAAGACTATTTTCAGATGATCTCCAACATGTAAATCGTGTGGAGTGATAGTGAATAGAGGTGGTAAATAAGAAATTTGTTTTTGGCAATTAAGCGTCGACTTAAAGGGAAAAATAAATATGTAAACATTGTAAAGAAAAAAAAAACTATGACATATTTTCTTGCTCCCCAATCCTGATTTTTAAATTTTAATCATCACTCCTTGTATGAATACATATCATCAACCTATACTACTCTATTGTAGTGGTGTGTTGTCTCATATGGACATGCCAAAACCACTACATTCTTGAATCTTGATTCTTCCCTCCCTCAATTTATCATTGATCGACATCACTCCTACCACATTAAATATCTTGGCCAATAATGTTCTAATGCATGTCATTCATAACATCCTCATTTTAGAAACTTCCTCATTCATTTCATACATCTTCGTAATCGACTATCGTTTAGACTAATATATCAGATTGTCACCATATAAAACTTCCACTTTAGTTTCAACATGACATTCTTGTCGCACAAAACTCATATAGCCACTATCTATGGGTGACAATATGTCATGTTGAGTCATTTTCGGGTTGACATGTTTAATTAAATGTGTTGACAACCCAACCAACACGTTTAATTAAAGATGATAAGAACTCTTAACACAATTCATCATGTTTAATAATAGGTTGAATTTATTTAATAAATAAGTTTAACCCAAGTTGACCCATTTGCATAAAAAACCAAATAAATAGAACTTATACCTAATTAAATAAGTTACATATTCTAATAAATGTATAAATAAAATTAGAAAAAAATAAGTTACATATTCTAATAAATGTATAAATAAAATTAGAAAATTAAATTACAAATCCCAATAAATGTTTGCGTTCGAAAAGAATAATTACAACCACAAACACAAATTAAATGTTCAAACAACATTACAAAATTCTAAATTCTATTTTCTACGCAACTCAAACACGCAAGATGACTAAGGAATAACCGAATGAGGGGTTGATAGTTATTGATTACACACTTAATTGTTAGAGTTCGAGATTGTAAAGGATAATGAGACGATGAGTTAGGATTAGTACCTTACTCGTTTGAGAACCAAGTTTGTGAAAAATGAGATGAAAAATTGAATATTGAAAGTGAAAGAAAACAAACTTGAATTTATAATAGGTTGTTTTATTTGTTGTTTCTTAATGGTAAAATATATAAGATAATAATTACAAAATATTTATATTAACTAAATTTAAAAAGTAATTATTTTTAAACGGATTAACAAGTTGAAATTGTTGAATTCAATGTACAATAAACTAATAATTTAACGTACTACTACTTATATGTAAGCATATGTGGTCGCATACAAAAATCATTTTCCCTAACATAAAAAAAGGTAAAATATTTTGATGTGATATATAAATTGATTGTTTATCAATCAAAATAGATAAATAAATGGTAATATATTATTTATTAAATAAAACAAAATAAATGAAATGTCATAAGGATATACAACTAATATCCAATTATATATCTATTTATGGTTTTGAATCTTAATGTCTATTGAATGTTATAAATATATATGTGCTTCTTGCGATTTGTTAAGAATACAACTAATATCCAATTATATATCTATTTTACCATTATTAACTAATAATAAGATTACTATAATACTTTTATATTATTTATTAAATGATTTAATTTATCTAAAATCTGATTGATGCATATACTAACATAATAATTACTTTAAATACCTGAACCTACTTATATATATAATAGCATCAGAATTTTTAAAATGTAATTTCATAAGGGTAAAAACTTTGCCTACAAGTTCAAAAATTTTATACAGAGTTATTAGTACAGTGGACTTAACGAGTTTCACGATTAACTATTGTTATCCTTCTTTAAAAAAACAATCCTAAAATTACGTTTAAAGTCTAAATTTGGTTCTTGTAGTTTGTCAATACTTACACTACATGTTCAAAATTCGGTTTTATATCTTTTAACTTCTTTATTTCCATATATTTTTATTTTTAGTCAAAACGAAACTTGGTTTACTATTTTTTTTTTTTTTTTTTGTTTTCATATATATAGTTTTATATTTTTTGTATTTT